TAGACGAAACGGTAATTGAAAAAGATTTCGAAAAAAAGTTTAGCGCAATAGCGGCCGAGTCTCATTTTGCCGATTCCTGCGATAAGACTATTACCTGAATTTAATAAATCCGAAAAAAAGAAAGACCCGTGCGGTACCGGCAGCAACATGACTCAAAATAACCCTTTCGCTACTTTGAAATACGCGGTCGAAGCCGTCCCTTATTTTGACGGTCAAAATATTCCATTAAATTATTTTATCGAGGGATGTGAAGAAGCGAAATCTATGTTGCCAAAATAATCCTTTCGCTACTTTGAAATACGCGGTCGAAGCCGTCCCTTATTTTGACGGTCAAAATATTCCATTAAATTATTTTATCGAGGGATGTGAAGAAGCGAAATCTATGTTGCCTAGTGAGGCTGAATCACAGTTTACCAAAATAATAAGAACCAGGATAATAGGGGAGGCTCGCCGAACTATACAAGGTCAAGATTTTGATAGCGTTTCTCAATTAACTAAATATTTAAAACAAATTTATGGACCAGCAAAAAACGTTTATCAATTACAAGGGGAATTGGGTTGTATATATCAAAAGGGTGATGAAGATGTAATTACTTATGCAAATAGAGTAAAGATTCTTGGAAAACAAATTTTAGAAACATATAGAAGTTCGGGAAACGTGTCGTCTGACCAAAATATTAAAGCATCATTAGAAAAGGACATGTGCAAGTGCTTTATTAGAGGGTTAAAACCAGAGATTGAACAACGAGTTGCAAGAAATTTATTAAATGTACAAGAAACTGCAGCCGACGCTATAAGGATAGAGAGAGAGCTCCGAGCAATGACAGATTTACGACAGGGAATAGATAACAGTTCAGGTAGACAGAAAACTAACAGTCTAAAAGAAATTTGTCAAATCTGTTATAAAGAAGGGCACGTAGGCAGTAACTGCAAGAAATATTTACAAACATCTCAACAAATTAATAACCAGATTGATTTAGGAACCGCGATATTAGTATGTCAAATTTGTAAAAAACGTGGGCATGGAGCAGAGAAATGCCGCTTTCGCGATCCACAGCAACGCCGACCGGTAAACGTAGTTCAAGGGAAAATAATAACTTGTCAATTATGCTTAAAATCCGGTCATGATGCAAAATCTTGCCGACAGAATAATACAACTAATAACAATAAAATCTCGGTAATTTGTCAATGGTGCGAAAGATCCGGCCATTCTGCAAATAATTGCTGGGAGAAACAGAACGAACAACGTTATGCGGGAAATAAAACTCGTGTAACTTGTCAAATTTGCAACAACTTTGGACACATTGCTAAAGATTGTCGATCAAAACTAAACCAGCAAACGGGATCTAGGAATTCTTTATTCTGCCGCTATTGCAAGGAGCATGGTCATCTTCTCGAAAATTGTCAATTACGCCATGCCAGTAACTTTCGAAAAAAGGAAAATAATCAGGGAAACTACAACGGCCCCTCGACGTCGGGTGCACAGCAGGGGTCCGAACGAGAGCCGCACCCGTCCAAAACTCAGGTAGCCAAGTAGACAAAGACAGAACTACCATAAGGCCCGTGACCGTAAACCTCGACAAACATAGTCGCGTGCCTACCGTTCAAATCAAC